CAAAATTTTGGAGGTTAATCTATACATTGAATAAGTTCACAATAATATTTTAGCGTTTTAAGAAGAGTTAAAGCCGATTAACAAAATTTTTTAAAACAAAAAATAGAACTGCACAATACCTGTATTTTATTCAATCTTTTTATTTTTTAGCTGCCTTTGTTTAAAAAAATTCCAAAATTAAATTGTATAATGGGGTTTGAAAAATTACTAATGATGGAAAGTTATTCGAAATTTTAAGCTTTAATAATAGATAGGGGCGTCTGTGGCCGCAACGGGTGATACGGCGGCCCTGTCTGTCTGGGGTTCTGGAGGTCTTGGGTAAAAGTGGAATTTTGTCAAAAACACCAGAGAAAAATATCGAATTTTTTAAATTTCTAACTAATTGTAAATCGGTTAAATTAACTATGAATCTTTCTCGCCAAAGTGCATTTATTGTAATTGTAATAATGTGCAATTGTGTCTGACATGTCTGGCATAAAATGTAATTTGTAAAAAACTCTTAATTTCAAATCAGGCTTAAACAAGCTGTATTTCAGTTATCACTGAGACTAATTAATGATAATATATAGTGTGATAAAAACCAGAAACTCCCGTCCAAATCAACGACATTTTACCCGATAGTGAAATAATTTTGTATTTTATATTTTTACCGCCAACAGCTAATAATAATTGCAGTTTCTTTATGGTAACCCTGGCCGGAGATATTGTTTATAAAATTTAAATTAAAGATAAGACGATACGATTTTTTTAATGTTTAAAAAAACAATAAATTGTTTTTAAAATAATATAAAATCGTTAACATATTAATTGCCAGATGTCATAATTATATAATGCGTTAAAAGACTATTATTTCAATCTATTATTTGTCGGATAAACATAAACCAAGTTGAAAAACGTATTTTTATTATTATTTTGAATTAGAAGATTTTGCCCTTCGACATATCGATTAACCAAACGGCCGATAAATATTAGAATCTCTAATCTCCGCTATGTCTATAGAAATCCCGTTTTATTTCTTTCCAAAAAAAAAATTGATGTACTGGATAATTAAATATCTTTTCTTACAGCCAGCAGCTATAACTTTAAAATGACAAAGATAACCAAGTGTTGAACGAGATAATTATATCACAAATGTGTTTTTTTTAATGGATAAAATAATAACAGGATGCAATCGACAATATGTCTATAATATCTAACCATGATATTTCTATTCCATTTCAGTTCATATTAGTTCAACGGAGTCTGTGCGAAATAATTTTACTACAAGTTTAATGTAAATGTAAACTTCTATTATATACATTAAATAAGATTAAATGTGTAAGTAACAATTCTGCTTACTTCTAACATGTTAACTTTTCAAAAAATTTGCTTTCATTTTTAACGACATATATCATGTTTGCTATGTAATTGTAGATATTTTCTTGCATTAAAGATTTTTGGATTGTTTCAGTTTTTTTTAGTTGTATGCATTATGCTATTATGATTTAGTTTACTTCTTGATTTCAAATAAGAGATAAGGAACAAAAATATTTTGAATTAAAAATAATTGTTTAATTAGTTGTCACATTAGCGGCTTTCTGATAGGCAGGAAAAGAAACAAAGTATATTTAAATCAATTGTGAGAAAATTAATTGTAATTTAGCTTAATTATAATAATTTAAACTGAATTAATCATTACGACCTACATTCAGTTACTAATAAAAACCTAGTTGATGGGTAAATCAATGAATAGCTTTGTGAAACAAAAAATAAAGTGAATATAATATGAATTATTCGATTTGATATTTCAAGTAAGAAGGAAAACAACAGTTTCCGGCCATTTTAAGTCGAGATTTTAAATATTAGATGGATATTTTTTCTCATTTCCATTTAAAAGATTTAGTATTGTAAAACCCAACTTGAACGAAACAGTTTGAAATTGTAAGGACAGCATTGCCGTGCGCACACGTCAAGTGCGCGGGGCTTCAATTACCATCGGCCGTCTAAGTTTTAACTTTAAATATAGTTTAAGAAGAAAGTTTGCCGGAGTGGAGGGGCTTAGGCGTGACGTGCGCCTTCTCAAGTTGGCCCAACTTGGCGTAATAAGTTTTGAGTATTTGCGCCTCTCAGGTACATGGTAATTGTGTCTGAAGAAGACGTGTTAACAGGATTATTCCTGTCCTAGAGGTGGGGACGACCACGTGCCCGAGCAGAAGGCGCCTAGGTCAAGATTCGGGAACGTCTCCCACGGTAGGGGACTTGACCGGGAGCGAGCGAGACGGTTTTTTTTCCTTCGAACAATAACAAAGGACAATCGGATTTTTTATATTTTATTTAACACTACGTTTAGAGTTATTCAGTTTAGCGGATTAACGCTCCTTTTTTAGATTACCGCTTAATCTTTCTATTTTACCTACCGTAATGCTTTAAAAACAGTTTTTATTACAAATAAATTAGACAGATTTTTATAATGTATTAAAATATGTCATTCTTTTTTTTAAATAGATCCTAAAGGAAATGAGGCATACAAGGGATAAAAACACCTTCAACTAAGATAGGATGAAACTAAGCGTCAAAATCCTTCGTTAAGCCCTCGTTGAGTGAATTTAGGCCAAAAATATATTTTCTAAAATATAATTTATATCTAATTCTCCAATCCATAGAAGTGTTTAATTTTTTGTTTAACATTAAAGTCATTTTTAGCCCGGATTCGCAATTATAAATACAAAAATGGTTAAATTTATAAAACCGATATAAAACACTAGTTTATTCATTTTTTTATACTTAAAAACTTAAACAATCTTAATTTTTATAAATAGATACATTTTTAACTAAAAATTATCGCAGTATTGCCTAAATTGTAGTAAATTTCACGTATAATAGCCAACATAACATTTTATTTAAAAAGCAGTTTTTAATTTTTTTTTTGTCTTCTTCAAAGACTTTTTCGCCCAAATAATCTTTAATTTTCTAGTTAAAACATTTAACATATTTGATAATTAACGAATAAATGTCATTATTTTACAAAATTATAGGCCTACGGTTGTTTCAATCATTCGATTCAACTAAAATCCGCCAAAACACGATAAAATTTGTCTTTATGACTATTAATTAACTGCAAAATCATAATTTTTGTTCGTACCAAAGAATTTTGATTATGAACATCGGATTTTTTTACAGTTAATCAGTGGATTAAATAAATACTCTTTATCCTAAATCAAGTTTCGCGAATGTTCAAAAATCGTTATGGATCAAAAAATTTGAAGCCTAAAAAGATATTTATTTATGTTTTTCATATTTAATTTAAAGTTTCTTTCCTATATAAGATTCGGCGAAATAAAATAACACTAATAATAATAATAATAAACTTATAAATTATTATTAGACTTTGTAAAAATTATCGATTTTACTCAACTGCCTAAATACTGTTGTGCAAGCCTTATGGTGAGGCAATTCCACAATATTGCACATAGTTTTAGAAATATAATTTCACAAGTTAATGAAAGTAATAATATCATTTTTTATGGCCAAGAAAGAAATTTTAACCATGGAATTTGCATGAATAACAGACCGTTTTGACGAACCGTTTATAAAATACAATCACTCGATCATGTGTTTGTTTCTATTTCAAACAACTTGACAAGATAAATTATATTAAAATAACAATCACATTTTGACCTTGTGAATTTGTGATTTAAAAAGGAAAAAATCTAGAGCGTACACGAGGCGAAAGTATTACGCAGCGGGGAATATTTAAATTTCATCTATTTCAACAATGGTATTGATTTATTGCGCACTTCATTGATTTAAAACATAGAATTTAAATATTTTTCAAACAATATAAAATAATTATTCGTAAGACACATCTCCGAAGATGTTCTAACACGTCATATAATAAATAATAACTAAATATTCGTGTATTTTTTTCTATAGTCGTTCAGACCTGCAAAAAGCAATACGAACGATTTCGCCGGGTCGGCGTCGGTTTGTGCAAAGTCCGCGAGGCAGTTTCTGAACCCCGAAGGGACTTTAACGCAACCGGGGCGAAGCAGGTGTGTACCCGTCCGCCCGCTTAATATAAAATTCACCGCCTCCTACTTCTTGCAAGTCCCTTTATCATTTCTCGAGCTTTTTATCGTTTTAATCTGAACACTTGCACTTTTTATAATCAATATGTGCAAGTTTTTATGGGGGTTAGAATTTGATTCGAGGCGGGGGTAAGCAATAAAAACCGAGCCCCTTCCGGCAATTAGATAATTTCATTGGGGCTTTTTCGATTATTATCGGGGTTAAATCGAGAAGTGAAAAAATTAAAAAAACACCTGCACGGCATGCCGAAAGTAGAAAATTTAAGGAATAATCGCTTAACAACAATATAAAATTAAAGGCTCATTTCTAGCATTTTCGTACTGCATCATTCATTCGCATTGTGCTTAACTTTCCGATTTTGAAGCAGAAAGATGCATAATTTGGTATTTAACTATCAAAATAAAATAAATGCAAAAATCGATTTGAAAAGAAAAAGAAAGAAGAATTTACACAGGCCAAAAAAGTTAACAATTAAATTGCTTTTCTATTTAATTAATTTTAAAAGAAAAAACCTTTTATTTTAGTTTAACTATTCAACAGCGAAAAAATGTTGAGGTCAGGTTTTTGCAAGGGCTAATTCTGTGGTAATATTATCCAATGAGATTGGATTATGGTTTCATTGATTGTCCGGTGTCCGAAAGAAATTGTTTTGCGAAATTGATATTGTCTAAAGACTATTAAAAAAATTTAAAGTTTACTGGATGCTTTTCACGATTGTAACTTGTAAAATGACTAGCAAATGTGGTGAAATCTATACTGAGTGTGGATAACCCTTAAATTTATTATCAAACTCACCTACTTTTTCAAGAATTCCATAGAAAGATGATATAACACAAACAAAAAATGATAACTTAATTCCGAGATGACACTTGGTTTTTCTGGAATGAAGGCACGGCATTCTCACAGGGTGAAACTGAGGGGGTGTAACTTACCCTTTCTTCCTCGCGAATCATTTCGGCGATGCCCGGCTTGATTTCCATGTCTTCGGATGGCTGTTGCGGAGGCTGAACGGGCGGTGGAGGCGGCGGCGGTGCAAGCGGGAGCGGCAGCATGTTGGTCGGCGTGCTCGAGGGCGGTCCGGCAGGAGGCGGACACGAGGAAGGCGGAGACGTTGTCACCAGTTCTAGAGCCCTACCTTCCAGGGATTCTGAGACGCTTCCTTCTGGGCTACTAGGGTCGACGGACGTCCGCCGGCGTTTCTTCCTCGAGAGTGACACGTCTTCCAAGCCCTTGCCGAGGTCCTGTTCTCCGTTGACGTCCGCCAGACCCCGGATCTTCAGAGATTCGGCCACTTTGAGCAGGGGGCCGATCTGCTCCTGGGACACGTTGATCTCACCTTTGTACATGAATTCGACGACCGCCTTCAACTCTGGCCACTTGATGTCCTTGAGGATGACGATGGGGTGTTGACAGGGGTTGTCGAAGAAGAGGCTCTGGAAATAAGGGCTGCACGCTGACAGCACCATTTTATGGGCCTTCACTGAGTGCCCTTCGCAAGCGAGGGTGACGTCCACGAAACTCTCGCTCTGGAGCAGTTGGTCGAAAACATTGGTCAGGTTGCTTTGGTAGTTGTTCCACCGGAGGCAGAACTGTTGGGGCGAAGCCGGCGGCCCCCCTCCAATACCCGGATGCATCGTGAGAGACCGTAAATTTTACGATGTAAAGGCTAAAAGGGGATTACAACCACACGCGACCGAGACCCGCACTCGAATGAGGAGTGAGACACTCCCCTCGCCCCCTCCAGAGTGCCGCCCGCACCCCACCAACCCCCACTCTCCGCACTACTCGCTCCCTCATTTATTTATATAAAATGTACATGTAATATAGGGGTGTGAAATGAGAGCATCTCTAGTATGCATAATGTATGTCTCCCGCCGGTTCCTATTGATTTATTGATGGAGCAAGGAGTCGGTTACTCTCCTCTCTTCCCTCTATCTTCATTTTAACTGTTTACTTATTTATCTGACCTGTTTCGCGCACTCTAGTTTCCAAGATTTATATATGCATGATGGTATTAATAATTAATATGAAGGAGGCTCGGTTTCCGCCTGATGAAGAAAAACCGAGGAGAGGATTAAACATTCATTCCGAGGCTTATATTATGCCGGGGCCGTCGTAATTTCAAGAAATTGCCACAAGTGTGAAATCTAAGCCGTCATCATACTAGAACAGACGTAATACTTGCAAATACCCATATTCGACAAAAGCAAATTGGCTTTGTGAATGAGACTTACATTTTGCTTAAGTTTATTTTTTCAACTTATCTTACATCATATTGTAAATTGTAGACATTTTTCTATGGGGCCATTATACTATCCAACCCTTTTACAAACCCCAAAACATATCAAACCTTCTTTCTTCTGCTGATGTCTTACACCTTTAAGACAATGTAAACAAGTTGTCCCTCTGGCTGGATAAAAATAAATCTTAGCATTGGTAAATTTTACGCTATGACTTTCCACAAAAAGAAACAACCTATAATAGCCTCATAACTTCTTAAGAGTTCTGTACAAACCCTTAATAGAAATTATAAAATTTGTGATTTAGAGATTAACACGAATCTTAGCATGACAATTCACAGATTCTCTTGACCGATTATTATATAAAAAGTTTATAATTGCAGAAGACCACTCTTAGATATTGACTCTCTCTCTACCTCACTCTTTCTCTCTCTTTTTCTCTTTCTTTCTCTCTTCGTCCTGTCGTCTGTAACTTTTCGACTCTCCAAGAAGGGTGTTCAAGCTTTATCTCAAGACTGAGATCATAAGAAAGCTTGAACACCCTTCTTGGAGAGTCGAAAAGTTACAGACGATAGGACGAAGAGAGAAAGAAAGGTGGAGAGAGAGAGAGAGAGAGAGAGAGAGAGAGAGAGAGAGAGACATATAGGCAAACAGGCAGACAGACAGAAAGAAAGATGGGTAAATAATTATTAATATTTTAAATAAAATAACAGGTTTTTGTAATTTATTTAGAAGACCTCCGACAAAAGGCTACAAAAAGAAATTTTTCATCAGTAAAAAGAAAAAGAAGAGTAAAAACATATTTTTAATAACTTTTTTTTTTAGTTTGTTCTAGGTTAAACTATTATTTTATAAAAAAATGTTTAATCGTTTGTTAGGATTTTCTAGTATTATTTTATTTTATGTTTTTCATTTAGATTATTTTTAAATATTATCACTAATAGTCTAAAAATTTCGAATAAAATGAGAAAATTTAAATAAAACAAATACGTTTTCGGCAGTAAGTAAAAAAAGTTTATCTCTCAATAGAAAAACCATTGGTTTCCAATATATTGAAGACTAAGAATTGAATGTTCAAGGTGTTTACCAAAACAAGTGAGTGGAATATTCTTATATTACGTATAGTTAAATATATTTTGGTTTTTTATTGACAGCAAAAAGATGGCTGCCTGATGAGGGAGAAGTATTTTTTGGTTGTAAATAGAGAGTTACATGTATGTAATTATTTATATTTGTTGAAATTTTCCAATTATGAGTACTAATGTTCAGAAATATCGTAATTGAAAAATACGTGTATCATAAAATCCTAATAAAAGTAAACAAAAATTACATAAAGCCCTTTTTAAGAGCCATTTTAATATTTTTGCTAATTCTTAAACTTGCAATTTTGCATAATTTGGCCAGAATGGGCGGGTCTGACCAACAATGGGTTAGTAGACTCTCCAGACTTTGATATAAAACTATTTCAAAATAGCGGCTAATTATTATATAAAAAAAGGTGGATTTTTAATTATGTTATAAATAGGATCTGTGGTTAAGAAATCCCACCCGTCATCAGCTCCAATGAATTCACTTATAAGATGTTCAATAATATTGATTGCGAAAATAATAATTAATGTTAAATGGTTAAAACTATGCTTATTTCACTCCATCATAGGTATATGGCAAATAACAGGCTCAAGGCGTTGATATCCATATCTTCACCTTTATTTAAAAAATATTAATCATTATGTTTTATAATACCCCTTTGAATACAACATTAGATTCACGATAATACTAACTGGCTTATCATATCACCGAATAGGTGTTCATGAATTTACCGAGGAGGAATTAATTGAGTCTGGTGCAGCCGAGAATGTTGAAATCGGGACGGATGCAGATGTCGACTTGGTGAATGTCAATCCGGTTGAATACTGACAGGAAATGATATGATGCCAAAATGGGTGTCGATTCTCTCCACGGATCGGATTGATAACGAATTATAACAAAAGGAATTGATTTTGATGTGATCGTAATGTTAAATGCCAGCTGCCCACTCCCGTCTGAATGAGGGAGTTAATTAAATTAACTCGGCTGACGCGTCGGACAATGTCTAAACATGGTCGGATATTTTCCAAAAGATTTAGACTACTCAAAAGAAACAACGGATCCAACGTAAATCAGCTAGTTTCACATGGGTGACAAAACGCAGATTAATTTTGGATTACGAAAGTGCAGACCACATTGCCACCTTGGTTGAGAACACCCAAGCAAATCAAAAATTTATGCTTCACACTACCTCATTAAAATCCTGCCTTAGACAGAAGCTAAGGGATTAAACTATTTATAATATACATTTTTTATTAATTATAATATACAGTTTTTATTTTACCAAAGCGGAACATTTCAACTTTTTAAACTTTCAATAACTGATTCTTTTTTGTTACAAATTTAATACAGTTGATATGTGTGTGCGCGCGCGCGTGTGACAGAGTGAGAGAGTGAGGCAGGTATAATTAATATTTTAAATTATATTCCCGGTTTTTGTAATTTTATTTAAAAATACCTTAAATAAGTGGGAGTGAGAGAGGAGAGAGGAGAGAGGAGAGGGAGAGGGAGAGTGAGAGTGAGAGTGAGAGTGAGAGTGAGAGTGAGAGAGAGAGAGAAAGAGAGAGAGAGAGAAAGAGAGAGAGAGAGAAAGAGAGAGAGAGAGAAAGAGAGAGAGAGAGANGAGAGAGAGAGAGAGAGAGAGAGAGAGAGAGAGAGAGAGAGAGAGAGAGAGAGAGAGAATAAAATAATGAAAATCGTTTCATTTAAAATTCAAAAATCTCGAAATTGGTCGCGAACGACCTCTCTTACAATTAACCAAAAAAACAGAACTATAGAAAGAGAGAGAAACCAATAATATAATAAACAAATCGACAATATTTGACCGAAAATTATTCAACGCGTAAATATTTGGAGTTTGACCCTTACCCTAAAGCTCGCGTCCCTGACCAGCGTCCGTTTACAAAGTTCGCTCGTTTGTCCCACTTAATTGAAGAGCTATTCCATGGTTCCATATAGAGAGCGTGCAGTACGAGATATGAGCATTGCGCTTGAGCACGACAGTGAATATTTTATTCCCAAGTACCAGGTATTAAAGCTATTTTACTTTATGTACTACTTAGTATACTTTTATGTACATACCTTTTTCCTAACCCGGACTGGGACAACACGAAGCATATCATTCTCACAGCTTGGCGCGATTAGAAATGATCTCAAGAACACATATTTGCAAAGTTGAGTATTTATAAATCAATCGCATAAGTCAACACAGATATAGAGTTCACACTTTCGTAGTTCAGAGACCTAGCATTTTAATTGTAGAAAAAAAAATGGCCCCGGGAAAAACCGAAACCAATCCTCCATCTTGAACGTCCACTGAGCTTTGAAAAACTAATTAATATACAAAACGGGATAATTAAAAAATGGCCTCGCGTATAATTGTTATATTCAGGATTTTTATCAACACGAAAGGAGACTTTAAAAAACGAAAAAATGAGATATCATTAATATTTATATGAATAAGAAAAAGTATTTTTTAAGTTTTATTATTAACATATTATTAATAGAGAAACATTGAGGACATTCCGGCTAAAACCAGGTTCAATACTGAATTTTAGACATTAAGGTGGACTAAAATTTTGTTCAGTGATTTCAAAAAACGCCCTATTCTTGTTGCATAATTTTAAAACTCTGTCTTTGTATTCTGAACCCCATGACTATTTAAGTAGGCTGAATTTAATAAAAGAAGAAAGTCATCGAACAAGAGTTGTCAAATTTTTGTCCACTTGTTTCACAGGATAACTAAAGGGTATAGAAATGGATTGTCCATGAAAATTAGCAATCCTCGGTTATTGTTCAATTGGTTGGGCTAACCAAGATTAATACTAAGTCTGAGTCAAAGCTATATTTACCAATGTGTTGATAAGTTTATCAAATACCTTCATTAGCTAGAAACTGTTATTTTCATTCTAATCAAAAGCGTTCGTTCAAGGCTCATCATATTATGTAACTTTACAAACTTTTATTGTATTTTAAGATATTAACATTGTTATGTAAAAATAGAAAAAGCCATTTTTTGGGGGGAGGGGGATTTTGTGGTTTAATATGGAAAATGTAATAAATGCAATAAAAACGGGAAGGTGAGATGACAACAGCTATGACAATAGAGACGAAGCTCCTAAGTATCGACAGCATGGGTCATGGGTGGCTATAAGAGATTCTGAATCGTAGAAGAGGGATAATCCTTATCCGATTACGAATAAGCCGTGCGGGAGTGACACACGGATATTTATTTCTGAGCCATGGTTCCTCGAGGTGTCCCTCTTAAAAGAAGTTCTATGCTTTGGCTCCACGCAAATATTTTTTCATTAAATTTAAACTCTTTTTAACTTCAAATTACCCTTTTTTAACATAAATTTAACCCTTTTGAATTTCCAATTAACTCTTTTTAAGGCAAT